ACAAATGTTGGTAATACAAAAGCAGCATGTTGCGCAAAACGCAATTTTTGGAACTCGTAGCGAGACGCTCTCTCCGCTGCGCCACGCCGCTGTTTCGAAAAACGACTTGTTGCAACCGTACTAAAACAGCATGCTAAATTCAAACCGCAATTTTTAGTAAAACGCTTGAGAGGTGTAACGTCTTAGAATAGCACTCCTACATCAATACTACATACCTGCAAAATTTTGTTAAAACTGATGACTTCACTGGTATACTCTTATAAGTCGAAATAATTAATGAGTTTTTATTATGAGACCTTGAGTAAGTTCTCGCTGATTCCCGACAGATGGCGTTACCAGAACTGCGTGCGTGTAGTTTAAGATGATAACGCATCTATAAGGAAGTACCATAGGCAAGCTTGAAATTCAGTGTATGTCATTTCGCCGAAGTGTAAGCAACTTTTTTTTTCATAGTGTTAAGCATGTCGAGTTTCGTGCTAACAAAGAGTATTTGCAAAAAATTTTATTGCACTATTTTATTCCAAAAACATCTGCAGTTGAAGCACACAGAATTCTCGTTGAGACTTACGACGACCATGCTTTGTCGGAAACAACATGCAGAGATTCGTTTAGACGCTTCAAAAATAATGATTTTGATGTTGAAGATAAAGAACGCTCTGGCGCACCGAAAAAGTTTGAAGACGAAGAATTGGAGGCATTACTTCATGAAGACTCATGTCAGACGCTAGCTGAACTTGCAGAATCATTAGGAGTAGATGACATAACAGTTTCGAAACGTTTGAAAGTATTAGGAATAATTCAAAAGCAAAGACATTGGGTGCGGTACGAGTTGAAGCCGAGAGACGCCGATCGGCGTCCTTTCACGTGTAAACAGCTGCTTCAACGGCAGAAAAGGAAAGGTTTTTTGCATTGTATTGTGACTGGCGATGAAAAGTAATACACTACGATAACCCTAGCGTAGCAGATCGTGGGGTAAGCCCGGCCATGCATCAACATCATCGGCAAAACTGAATATCCATGGTTCGAAGCTTCTGCTCTGCATTTAGTGGGATCAGCTGGGTGTAGTTTATTATGAGCTGCTCAAACCGAACGAAACCATCACAGGAGATCGCTATCGACTACAATTGATGCGTTTGAGCCGAGCATTGAAGGAAAAACGGCCGCTATACGAGCAGAGACACGATAAAGTGATTTTGCAACATGACAACACTCGGCAACATGTTGCACAACCGGTGAAAACCTACTTGGAAACGCTTAAATGGGAAGTCCTACCCCACTCGCCATATTCACGAGACATTGCCTCTTCCGATTATCACTTGTTCCGATCGATAGCACATGGCCTGGCTGAGCAGCACTTCTATTCTTATGAAGATGCCAAAAAATGGATCGATTCTTGAATAGCCTCAAAAGACGTGTTGTTTTTCCGACGTGGAATTCAAATGCTGCCAGAAAGATGAGAAAAAGTAGTGGCTAGCGATGGGCAATACTTTCAGTAACATGTTTTTTACGACTTTTTTTAAATAAAGCATTAATTTTCACGAAAAAACAGCGAGAACTTATTCAAGGTTCCAATAAATAAATTTTTAATTAATAAAGATCCGCGCGAATGAACATGTATCCATGTACATAAAACAACTCAGTGTTTCGCGCTGATGGTTACTACGTACACGACAACTCAACGAGAGAAGTTAAGTAGTATAAACAGCATGTTGCCGCGCGCGTAGCAACCATAAGCGTACAAAACGCTAGGCTGCCTTAAGCATGCTGCATGCACAGTTATTCTGCGAATTTGTATTAAGTAAGATATTCGTTAATTAGTGCGAATCTTGCAAAGAATTTTTCGATTTAGTATAACTGTCTCTACTTGCTTACGAACGATTGTACGGCTATTACCAGATACTGTATACACATATACGCACGCGCGTATATGTATGTGTGTGTAATAAATTGAACCATAATTCTTCTCTCAATATAGAAACATATATTGTTATGCCGTTAAAAAAGTATTTAACATTATGTATAACTAATTAAATAATTAAATAATTACATAAATTATATACCTGCTATCTATAAATAATATTATATGTATACATAGATATTTAATACTATACATATATATATATATATATATACACACAGTTTTACTCAATCTATCTCCATACTTCGGCTGTGTCAAAATTTTTCAAACATCCTGTATATATATGTATATATATATTTGACATTAGTACCATATATTTCATATATTTTCTAAGGACTTATCAAATGACTTTCGCAATTGTCTCTCGACTCAAGTCATAGCTGACTTTCTTTCTTTGTGTCAATGTATTGGGACTGAATAAAAAAGTATCTGTTACACACTATTAGCACCTGATCGTATCATTGGGTAGAAAAGTTGTAAAGATAGCTTCTTCGAGTTGCGAAGTTTCTTTTGCAAATTAACCTTTTCGCTATCACTGATGACTAAAGTCGCTTGCCGGAAAAGCAATCAAAAAAGATCAAAATAACATAATATATATAAGTGTAATCAACAAGTTTTATCTTGCTGACTTCTTGCGTGTGAAATGTACACTTGTATAGCATAGCGGCCGGTTCGGCGGGAGCCTGGCTGCCAGACGATAGCAAAAGGGTTAAAGTCGCTATTTATTCCTCTTTCACGCGGCTGCAACAATTTGTAAATTTTTTTATAATGAATGTGAGATAATGAAAGTGTGAATTTGCATGCTTAATCATAGTAATATTTTTTTTGCGTTAGCCGGAGCATATGTACGGCATATTAATTATTATATAATATTAACATACAAAGATGTTTTTTGGGTTTGAACCGCGTTAGTGTCATTCTTATACCGACGTTTCGTGAACACTTCAGCTCACTTCATCAAGGTTTTAAGAGCAACCTGATACTTTTTAACGCGGTTCAAACCCGAAAAACATCTTTATATGTTAATACAACACACCGCGAAAGCATCAAATATCATATTATATTATATGTTGTCAATTATTATATTATCTGTTGTTTATCCTATAAAATTACTGTGTGTGTACTCTATCTTCCTTCTCGTGTTTCGTTTTTTATTTTTGATCGTGATTATTAAGTTTATAAATTTAGGTTTAGGTTATAAGTTTCGAGATTTTTTAGAGCCGCCAATGCCGTCCGCGTAACTGCCGTCTCATAAGTTTAATCGCAATTCTCTTGCTTCAAAAATTTATGAGCGTTCCGAAGTAGGTAAAAGGACAAGCTTAAAACCAAGAATAAGATACTCCGCAATTCTCGAAGATGTCAGGATTTTCATAGCGCAAATCTCGTTGTGTACATTAATATCGATATGTCTTGGCGGTCGCGATGGCGCTTCTCCGAATATGGATTGCGCTCTGAAATGAAATGTATGATGCGATATCACACTCTGTATTACATGTTAATAAATTGCAATTGTGCTCCTAATGATAGCTTGGGTTGGTGGAAAAGTTCTGCAGATTTTTTAATAGATGACACTAGTGTCAGAAAATAATTATCGCGTGTCGTTCAAATGTCAGTCTGCCGCACATATTTTGACAAGTCACACTACGCTTGACATTTAGCAGAAGTGTTTGTTTTGGTCGGACGTGTTTTGCGTGTACAGCATACAACTAAAATGGAAGATCAAAAATTGCATTTTTGCCATATTTTGCTGTTTTTATTCCGTAAAGGATATAAAGCGGCGGACGCTAAGCGCGAAATATGCGCCATGTATGATGCCTCGGCCTTAAGCGCAGACACATGCGAAAGATGGTTTGCTCGCTTCCGTTCCGAAGAATTTAACCTCCAAGATGCACCACGCTCTGGACGGCTAAATTCTGTTGACAACGACCAACTCCTGGCTACAGTGAAGAGTGATCGACACTTAACGACTCGAGAGATTGCGAAGCGCTTCGGCATTCATTAACTGTTATGGATCGATTAAAAAAGCTTGGCATGGTGAAAAAGCTTGATGTATGGGCGCCGCACGAACTGAACGAAAAGAACATCATGGATCGGACTTTAGTGTGTGAATCTCTCCTGAAACAATACTCTCTAGACCCATTTCTGAAATGGATCATCACTGGAGACGAGAAATGGGTTGTCTACAACAACATTAAGCGGCGGAAGTCGTGGTGCGGTCCGGCCGAGTGTTCACAAACGGTGGCAAAATCTAATTTGCATCGACAGAAAGTAATGCTATGTATTTGGTGGGACTATAAAGGAGTGCTGTGGTTCGAGCTGCTCCCGCAAGTCCAAACAATAGATTCAAAGAAATACTGCGCTCAGCTCGACAAATTGCGCAAGGTAGTGCAAGAAAAGCGGCCAGAATGGTCGAATAGAAAAGGTGTGATTTTCCATTATGACAACGTTTGACCACATACTTCTTTGATCACAAAAAAAAAAATTGCAGAGCTTTGGCTGGGAAATGATGCAGCGCCCACCATATTCGCCGGACCTTGCACCGTCTGATTATCACTTGTTTCGCTCGCTGCAAAACAATGTTGACGGTCATTAATTCGACTCAATGGAGGCCATCCGAAATCACCTCGTTGATTTTTTCGCCCACAAGTCCCAAGGGTTTTACGAGAGCGGCATCAAGGCCCTACCAAAACGTTGGCAACAAGTTGTAGATCAAGACGGTCAACACATTGTGAACTAAATTAATTTTTATAAATGTCGATTTTGTGTTTAAATTTTATACTAAAAATCCGCAGAACTTTTCCACCAACCCAATATTTTTAGTGATATCATTTGTATAACCTTATATTGTGTAACTAAGTTTTCTCCTCGCATTACTCACGCCTTGTATCTCTCCATAAAAATTTATGACATAGATCTAAGCTCCCGAACTCTTTTGACGTCACATCCTCTTATTTTATTTTATCATTATTTGTGTTATGTTTTATCATTATTTATGTTATTAATGTAGTGACTCGTCTCATCTAGCATCCAAATAGATTGTGAAAAGTTGATTAAATTTGGAAAATCTAGATGGTGGACGTACCGAAGGTGTGCCGCACCGTACGCCTACCAACCAAAAGCTCAGTGCACGTCACAACTGTTGGTCCCAGAAATATCCGGCCACCTAAAGAAATAGATAAACTTGATGTCAAATAGATAAACTTTAAATCATAAACTGATGAATGAGAAAAGACTCAAAATGTACTTAACAAAATTTTATTACTTTAAACCATGTAATAATTTTACAACAGGATATTAAAAATATATTTAATATGTTAACTGTCACAAAAAATTTCATCAGGTCACGACTTTGTTTTAAAGTAAGTTTTAAATTAAACTGTTTATAATATATTAGTGTTTATCGTCTTCATATTATTTTATTAATCTTACTATATTCTGTTTATTGTTTTCAAATATCGATTTTGATTACTTTAGTCAACATGACTGTTATCTATAGATACAGGGTGATTCAGAACAACCCGTTATCTTTGAAAATATATATTCTTGACTAAATTCTAGTGCCTGACGCGATCAGCTAATCGCTATACACTGTATCTTTCTCTGTCTCTCTCTCTTTTTTCTTTTTTCTTTCACTTATTTATTTATATTCATTCGTAATTTGTATTATTTAATCCGTGTATTACATAAATCACTGTCATTCACGGTAAGTTGCGCCGCCCTTGCCTATCTCTTGTATCCGACTCATCGTAAGTTAACTATTTTTATTAATAACTCAAAAAGTAAGTTTCAGACAAAATTTTGCCAAATAAAAAGTTGTCTTAGAATTTAGTCAAGAATATATATTTTCAAGAATAACGGGTTGTTCTGAATCATCTTGTGTAGAAGTAACGTGACTTGTTAGAAATTTTACCTGTATCGCTTAAATTCAGATGATAATCAATGTATTAAAATAAACTTGGAAAATATGAAAAAGTACTACAAAGTAACATTAACAAAAATATGCTGCCATTAATTTAACAAGATTCTGTTAAATTATTTTAAAATTAAAAATTATTTTTGCAGTATTTGGATTGTTAACATTATCAATTGTATAGCATTTTTTAGTGTGGTAAATAATTCTATAACCAAAGAAAAACAACTGTTAGAACATGTATTTGAAAAGCAAATTAATAAAGTTTTGTTAAAAATATATTTGGAGCTCTTTTTTCATCCATAAAGATTTACTTTCTACATTAAGAATAAGTATTTGGATAGCTAAATAATTACTCTTTAAATGGCCATCCAATTATCGGATACTTCTTCGGACCAATTGTGTACATATTATATATATATATATATATACACATAAATATATCATCGCAAATATTTTGCGTACCGTCTTATGCGCCGCAAGTGCCAACGCTATAGTACTAGACAATCGACTTCTTAATCTTATATAATATAATGCTAACATTAAAAATTATACTTCTTAATAAAAACATTTCGACTTCAGCTATAAGAAGCAATAAAAACTACAGATTGTTATTTAAAACTTTAAAGTTAACCTTGGCAGAGGTTTTTAAGATATTCCCAGGATTAAACAAATAATAAACATCATCTATCATTCTTGATGATTTTATAACTTGTTTGAAATGTTTTTTCGTATCATCTATTTTTGAGATATTTGTCAGGGGAAGTAGAAATGATACATCTGTATACAGACTTGCGCCACATAAAGTAATTTTTTGTGTGGATTGATTCAATAGATTGTAATGGTTTTAGAGTCAATCTCTATAAAATCCTTCATACTTTCAAGCGTTTATCTATTACCTATTTGGTTTAAAATTATTAGTATTAGGAATTGGAATTAATTCGTAGCGTTTTTTTAATGAAAAAAAATTATTTATTTTAAATAAAAGTCAAAAAATACATTAATTAAAATATTTCCCATCGCTTTCTACTACGCTTTTGACCATTTTTCAGGCAGGGAACGAATACCGTGTCGGAAGAACGCTTTGTCTTTAGATGCAATCCACGAATCGACCCATTTTTGACAATCTTTGTAAGAAGTGAACTTCTCAGACAGGCTGTGAGCCATCAAACGAAACAAATGGTAATTAGAAGGAGTAACATCTGGAGAATACGGCGGGTGGAGTAGGACTTCCCATTTAAGTGTTTCCAGGAATGTTTGTACCAGTTTTGCGACGTGCAAACGAGCATTGTCGTGCAGCAAAATGACTTTGTCGTGTCTTTTGGAGTATTCCGGCCGTTTTTCTTTCAATGAAGAGCTTTCAAGCGCATCAATTGTAGTCGGTAGCGATCCCCAGTTATGGTTTCATTCGGTTTCAGCAGTTTATAATAAATCACACCCCTCTGATCCCACCAAATACAGAGCAGGAGCTTAAACCCATGGATATTCGGCACTGATGTTGATGGTTGGCCGGGCTTAATCCATGACTTTCTGCGCTTCGGATTGTCGTAATGGATCNATTTTTTATCACCGGTGACAATTCAATGCAAAAAACCTTTTCTTTTCTCCCGTTGAAGCAGCAGTTCACACGTCAAAAAACGCCTCTCAATGTCCCTTGGTTTCAATTCATATGGGACCCAATGTCCTTCCTTCTGGATCATGCCCAAACTTTTAAGACGTTTTCCTACCGTTGATAAGTCAACCCCCAATGATGTAGACAGTTCTTGAAGTGTTTGACATGAGTCTTCATTGAGCAATGCCTCTAATTCATTATCTTCAAATTTTTTCGGCTGGCTAGGTTGCTCCTTGTCATTCAAGTTGAAATCACCAGCTTTAAAACTTTCCGCAAAAACACTTTATTTGGTACAAATTTTGATGTATTCAATAAATTATAAAGTGTTGTTATTTACAATTCAAAAAAGGTTATGTAAAGCAAATGACGTCCAATGACAGCTGTTTCACGATGAATACATTACTGTAGGTAACAACGAAATATTGTATTACCTACGTCATCTCTTAAAACGCCACGAATTAATTCCAACACCTAATATCTCTAGACATCTAGACTATCTTATATATATCAACTGATTTTTAATTACTACAAGGTACTCTCTAAGCTAGAAGCGATAGATCCTATGTACCGTTCTTCTCTAGCTGGCGTAGCCGATTGATTTTATTTATTACCACATGATAGCATGTGATAATAAAGTAGTAGTATCACGCTGCGTCGATAATAAATAAAATCGAATCTTGTATAATGAAAACAATTAAGGCGTTAGACACTAAAAATCTCTATTTTTTAGATAGATGGATTTGGTTGCAAGATTTCTCATATAACCAAAGAACTAGAGAAGTAAACAAAATTCTAGACAGCTCCGCTGACGTCAATGCTCATAAGTGCAGCATCTTAGCCAGCTCTAGTATAAGATTTGGTTCTTTTGAACTAAAAATCTGAAATGTAAAAACCAAATCTTTTTTTATTCAAAAGAAATGTATCTATTGTCTAAATTAGAGTAATCATTAAACGTTTATTAGTTTTTTTACAAAACTGATTTTAAGAATAAACTAAGATTATTATTAAAAAGGCCATTGTCGAGAATAGAAGTAATGATTCTAGTCCTGACGATACTTCTCGTAAATTAGAAATCTTTTGGTTTTTTGCGTTTCAAATACCTAGTAGAGTCACAATTACTTACACCGTCTGCATTTTCTTTTTGCGAGCTTAAACTTATCAAAATATACACAACAAGAGCATTTTGTCTTAGATATTAAAAATGTATATTAAAATAAGGCTAAAAGAATATAAGATGTTTGACGTTATTCAGTTTTTCGATATTCCTGCAAAAATTTATCCCAAAAAATATCTTTTTTTTTTTACTTTTCTAATTAGAAGACTTCCTTAATTCACAATATACTTAATTTAAAAATTTTTTGAGTTTACCCAAGCAACCAGCTGACGTTGTAATGACGTAAATATACGTGATTTTTGTCACTAATTAGTGATTATGACCTAAATCTGACGTTATTTTGAACGTCATAACAATGATGTCAGTATGTACGTCATACGTATACGTCATATATGATGTAACTATTAGTCTTTGGAGTAACGTCAGTTGAAATAAGTGAATAAGACGTCATAATGACGTTATTTAAATAACACGATTGTTAAAACATTGTTTTTGAGTATATATTTATGTATTATATGGGTCATTCTTTTACAAATCGTACACCTTTTTGAACTTTACAATTTTGATTTGTCTAAAAATTGTTTTATGAGTTGTATGCATGAAATAAGCGGACACCTATATCGCGGTTTTGCCTGAAAAAATTATTTTCTAGAGTTATTAGAATTTTGAGTTTTCATAGTTCACTGAGCCTTGACACATAAAAAATTCGGTATCTTCGGTTCTAGTCATCGTATCATATCCGTTCTTTTTCTATTTTGTATATTATTATACCTGCCTTACATGTGCGTACAATTGTTGATCAAATGTGCAAATCCGAAAAGGTTTTTAACAATTAAATTGTTTAGATAATTTTTTTATACTGTTCCCCGCCTTAAATATGATTGAACAAAATACTACTAGGTTTGGTAAATCGTAATCTAAATGAAACATATTTTTTTGACATGGAATCTTTATTAGATCGAAAGATATAAAATAATTTTGTGCCCAAGTCCTGCATGACGCAACTTTTTTGCGCGCTGTCGCTACTTTTAAGTGTTATTTCGCACTTTAACTTGTGTAGATGTTTAAAAATGTAGTTTCATTATTCATTCTAGCTACGTCTGTAGTGTTTGCGATTATATTTAGCAAAATATGTAAATTAAGTGAAAAAAATGTGCGCACATACATTCAACCGTTTTCTATTTGCGTTTGCGCTCTTTGTGCTCTGCAGTGGTTATATTTTTATTTACAAATATTTTTGTTCTTAATTCGTTTATCTCGTTGTTCTTAATTACTTATAAATCTTGTATTTTATTAAAATGGAATCTCTGATGGATCAGAAAATATTAAATAATTTCCAGCTTGAGTCACTCACAGCACGTTTGAACGTGACGCGCGCGACACGTTTAAACGTGTGCGCGACGTTGTTGAACGTATCACATATACTTCTGTAAGGAATGACCGGTAAAGTGAGGAACGCTGAATTCAGATAATTACTGTTTATAATAATTAATTGCAATATACCAACTTTATTATATTATAATA